GATTGCAAAAATCTTCACGAAGTCAACTTAAAGGCAGTTTCAATTCTCTACTGTATTGTTAATAGATGTCTCGTTCGGATTAAGCAATATGCTATTTTAATGTTCGCACATTATTAAAAGGTGATGTACAAGGCTATTGAATTGCCTCTAGGTTAATTTTGTGATCGTGTTAAAAATCATATTTCGTAATTTCGTATCATATTGGGTATTTACATTCATCGGACCTTATCAATATTATGATCGGTTGTCCCCTGTAAATTGTTATGTAAAATTTTGTTGTACTTCTCGTCAGTTGCGATTCCACTTTTTTATGAGTCGAAATAAAACAAGACAACTGTTCATCCGCAAATATAAATAAATGCTCTCTCTCTCTCTCTCTCAAAACAGCGTTAGCTGTATTATGAAAGGTTAATGTTTTAAATGACATAGCCCTATATGTCATCATATCTGACAAACGAAACATTTTTCAACTCGAATTCCCAACAGAGGTTTCCCCAAAGATCGTCATTTATTTTGATTAAAATACTCAAAAGGGGTTATAAAATTATGCTGACATAAAATGTATTAATAGGGAGGGGTGTCACAACCTCCTCTAACGACGTCTCGTAAGAAAAGTTGAGGGTGTTTCCATTTTTTATGCAGAGTTACCAAATAACAAAATGGTAGAGAATGGAAAATATCAAATGCTCCTCATTCCCAGCTCTAGCCATGCCCCTGATGTAGTTTTCTTTCACTAGGAACTTTCATGGGCTTGAAATAAACTCATTGCATGGTTGAAATAAAACTGGTTCTATTTGCACTTACCCGTGGTTCCACGATTGTTAGCTGATAAAATAAAATTCAAGATGACAACAGCTGCAATGAAGGCGCTTCTTGTAGAATGTTTCATGTTCATATCCAAGAATGGGCAACGATGGTTGGTTGATTTAGTATTTATGACTTTACTCTTTAAATGTACTAATGTCGTATCTTTCAAAGCTCAGAATAACTCAACTTAGCCAACAAGAGCGACGAGAGATACTGTGACCTGCTAACGATCTCAGTAAAAATGGAAGAAACACAATCATACCAAGCATCGTCGGCATCAAAAGAGACAGACATGATATTCCGTCCAGTTTCAATGGCGGATGGGGCTGGCATCCTTTCAGGAAATTGCCTTTCTTTGATAAATGTAATTAAGATTTAGCGGACAAGGCGAAAGAAAATTTAGGCGTTTCTTTGGTTACAAATATTTGATGATGCATAGCAATATTGATTAAAACTAATGTGACTTAAACAGGCGCAATAAAAATTCGATTTCTAATATGACGGCAAGATCATGAGAATTAATTGTGAAAAAACCCAGGTGTCTTTTAGTTGGTTTATGTCAGTAACATGGAACTATAATTAATTCTCTACTGAAGACATGTTACGGATAAAGAAACGGATAATGGAGTAATGGGGGTAACCAGTGAACTACCCCCCCCCCTCCTTTAAATTTTCAAACAACATTCCATTTTCCAAATTACATGTACTTCATGTCCCTCTTTTCATTTCCCTATTACTCTCTCTATCTCTACTTCTAATTATCATCATTCTTCCTACTGTCTTCACCAACCTCTCATTTTCTTGCTCATCCCCCTTCTCTCGATCCCCCCCCCTCCCCTCTGCCTTCTCTTTCCCTTTCTGCCTGCCTGTCTTACAAACAAAAAGTGAGTGAAATTATTGCAACCAGAGTCTCCGATTTAATTAATATTCACAATTCTATTTACACAATTTTATTACAATTATGAAGTTTTAAGGCCACCTGTTTACATTTTACCGAAACAATAGAATAGTTCTTCCACCGTACCTGCCTCCTTCTAGAAATATTTCCGTCAGTTTTAACGCACACCTCCTCCTCCTCCTTCTGCTCATTTTCTGCCTCTTCCTGCTTCTTCTCTTCATCGTTATCCTGTTGCTGCTCCCCGTCCTCTACCTCATTCTGATCCTCTACTTCCTGCTGTTTCCCATCATCTCCCTCCCCCTCCTGTTCCTCATCTGCTCCTGCCCTGCTCCATTTCATCTTCATGTTGCTCCTCCGCCTCTACCTCCAGCTGTTCCAGCTCCTCATCATACCTCATCCTGCCATCCTTCCTCCTCTACCTCTTCCTGTTGCTGCTCCTCCCCTACCTCTTCCTGCTCCACCCTATCTCCTCCTCCTCCTGCTCGTCCTCCTTTACATCATTCTGCTCCTCTAGCTTCTCCTCCTCCTGCTCCTCCTCTATCTCGTCCTGTTCGTCCCCTTCGTATTCCTTTTCCTGCTCCTCCTCCTCTACCTCTTGCTTCTCCTCCTGTACATTCGCCTCCTGATCCTCCACTCCTACCTCCTCCTGCTCCTGCCCATCTACATCATTATGCTCCTTCTCCTTCTGCTCCTTTACATCTGGCGCATGTTGCTCCTCCTCTACCTCTTCCTGCTCTTCCTCCGGTACCTCCTCCTCCTCTTGTTTCTCCTCTATCTCTTCTTGCTGCTTCTCCTCTACCTTCCGCTGCTTTGTCCCTCTACCTCCTCCTGCTCCTGCCCATCTACATCATTATGCTCCTTCTCCTTCTCCTTTACATCTGGCGCATGTTGCTCCTCCTCTACCTCTTCCTGCTCTTCCTCCGATACCTCATCTTCTTGTTTCTCCTCTATCTCTTCTTGCTGCTTTCTCCCTCTACCTCTTCCTGCTTCTTCTCCTCTACTTCCTCATCCTGTTCATCTTCGTCTACATCCTCCTCCAGCTCCTGCTCCTCTACCTCCTCTTCTTAATTGTTCCTCCTCCTATACCTTTTACTTTCTCCTCTATTTCTTCCTGCTGCTCCTCCTCTACCTCCTGCTGCTTTCTCCCTCTACCTCTTCCTGCTGCCCCTCCTCTACCTCCTCATCCTGTTCCTCCTCGTCTACATCCTCCTCCAGCTCCTGCTCCTCTACCTCCTCCTCTTAATTGTTCCTCCTCCTATACCTTCTGCTTTCTCCCTCTACCTCTCCCTGCTGCCCCTCCTCTACCTCCTCATCCTGTTCCTCCTCGTCTACATCCTCCTCCAGCTCCTGCTCCTCTACCTCCTCCTCTTAATCGTTCCTCCTCCTATACCTTTTACTTTCTCCTCTATTTCTTCCTGCTGCTCCTCCTCTACCTTTTGCTTTCTCCCTCTACCTCCTCATCCTGTTCCTCCTCGTCTACATCCTCCTCCAGCTCCTGCTCCTCTACCCCCTCCTCTTAATTGTTCCTCCTCCTATACCTTCTGCTTTCTCCCTCTACCTCTTCCTGCTGCCCCTCCTCTACCTCCTCCTCCCCCTCCTGCTCTTCTACCTCCTCCTGCTGCTCATCCTCCTCTATTTACCTCCTCGTATGGAAACGTTTGCTTGGATTTGTCTCATAAAAGAAGTCTAAATCAAAACTGGTCTTAAACACAGCGCCATCTACCGTTAATATAATTTTCGAATCAAATAAAGAGAGCGAGGGAGAAAGAGAGAGAGAGAGAGAGAGAGAGCGAAAAGAGAGGGGGAGGGTCCAAGGGATCCAATGAGAAAAGGTGATAGAGAGAAAAGGAGATAGGGGAGATCAATAGAGAGAGAGAGAAAGAGAGAGAGAGGGAGAGAGGGGGAGAGAAGGGGGAAGGGGGATAAGCAAGATATATCAGAATACATTAATGTAGAATTTTGTATGACAATGATTGATATCGCGGATCATTTATTTCATATGAAACTTCAACCACTAGGAACCAAACATTCAACTTTAAAATCAAACAAACAATTTTTTTTTTTACCAACGAAGCATCTGCCAGTGAATACAAAGAACGCAAATTCTCGTTCTGATCTAGATTTCTATTCGCAATTAAGATTAAGGTCATAGTTCAACTCTTTTTGTATTCCATCATTGTCATTCTTATTTGGGACCAGGTACTAACAATAAGATTTACTTTGCTTACTCACGGGGTATGCACTGTGGTACGATTGTGTTTGCACAAAAGCTTTCTAAACTCACGTTCTATATGGACCAACGATCCCGTAAATATGTGTGTGGATTCGTTTCGACTATATTATACTGATGTCCTCACCATTTCTGCAATGCCTGACACGGGAAAATATTGCAAGACTTGTGATAGCTAAATGATTATTGTCTTTAATATACTAATATGATGGGGCGAATATAGGCGAACTGTTTTTTTTTTTGTGGGGGGGGGGGGGGGGGGCCTCCATGTATACCATATAATTGTGAACTACACATTATTCGGGCAACCGTCACCTGCTAAAATTCACTGGCAACGAGATAGTCATAACTTTCTAATCACAATTCAACGACGGCATCACATGAAAGCACCTTAAATTCATGCAAAATTCCCGAAGATTGGAGAGTCAGGACTCAAAGTAAAGACAGGGAAATTGATATAAAATCATCGCTAAGACTTGTAACAAATCAAAACAAAAGTCAGTCAATACACCAGTACTGTCTTGCATCTAGATATCATGTTTTGATTACAGGATTAAACAGAGCTTCTGAAATCGCCTTATATGTTGTTTTAGAAAAGAAAAAAAAAACGTCCTTGTGACCGTAATATCCCCGGGAAGGAGCAATAGCCTCCCCATAACCCCTCCCCCTATTTTAAGACAATGTTGTGCCCTTAATTGCGCCAATTATGAGGGCGAGGGCTTGACAGTAATGAGTACATCAGGATTGTGGCAACTGAGATTAAGTCAAACTATTAAAAAATGGGAAAGAAGTAAATCATGGTAAATCGGGTTTATATAAATTTGTTGTCAATTGCTACATTATGGCCCGAATTCACAAAGGAGGTTTGTCGACAAACCAGGGTTTTCGTACGTCCTACAACGCGTTTTACGCGTTTTTTACAAACCTGGTTTGTAAAGAACAAAAGGAGGTTTGGCGAAACAAAAGGAGGTTTGAGCTCAAACCTTGCTTTGTGAATTCGGGCCTATGTGTTGTAATAAAACAGTCGCAAGTCATGGTATCAGTAATGAATAAAATGATCTTTGCTTTTTTTCTTTCTGGCGCACTGTAACGTGCCTTTTAATATGCATCATATCATTTCAACAAACATCACTTTCTACATGCAGTATAACATTATAATATCATCATAATAACTGGTGTGATTTTTTTTCTTTCTCGCAAATCACAAATAATGATCAATATTTTGACACCCTGGAGGCATCGAGTAGGAAGAAATTAATTAGAACGTCTGTCAATTGTTTTGATACACGAAGCGTGGTGAAAACCATTGGTGGAAACAAGCTGCATGTACTTGTATTGATTCCAAAGTTCTGCGAACACGATGAAGGGCTTGGAAATAGGCCCATTTTCAAATACGAATATCACTGAACAGAAAATGTTGCATTGAACAGGGATTTTGAAAAATCAATCAGTATGAATACAAATCAAATTGTGGTTTTAAAATCTATACGTATTTATGCTCAACTTTATGGTATATAGGCTTAAAATTTCTTGGAAAATTTTGATGGGTATCCGGCAAAATGAATTCCTAATTCGTTCAAACATTCTTTTATTATGCTGAATAAATGCTACAGTAAGCTAACCAGACTTTTAAAAGAGTCGATTTCCGATACTTTTCATTTCGATAGGAGATAGTTGACGGATAACTCATAATTCCATGAATTACTCAATTTCTTTTAAAGAAATAATTATGGCACCACTTGCAATATACCCCTATAAAGTAACTGCGTGGGAAAGAAACGCAAACCACAATTTCATTTCCCCTCGCTCGACAATGAGAATACCTCCACATAAAAAGCAAACACAATAATAGAAGAAAAAAAATCTATTATTCATGGAGTTATGCATGCAAACAAATAATAAATCACGGGATGCATGCACTGACGCAAAATGGAAAGCAAATAGAAAATATCGGGACGGAGCGAACCCGCACCTATATACCACTCGTTGTTATTCTGTGCACAGGCAAATCAACAAGATATGCATGACCCGGTTTGTATCTATTTACTCAGAATCAACACCGCAGTGAAATCTATTCGGTTTTAATTAACGAGGATCTTATTTCAATCAATTGCTTATGATTTTAATTTTGATGTATCAATATTGTGGTAATCAATCTTCTTTCAACATCTTCTAAAAAGTCTACATTTCAGGCTCTATATTACTGACTGTGTTCATTGAACCGAAGGTGAATAACAGGCCTTCTTATCAAAACCACATGGCGGAAATGAGCTTTCTCGATACAGTTCTTGCTAATTAAAAAAAAAAAAATCATAAACTGCAAAGCTACAGTTCTATAGGTAGTGTAAATAAAGCCTATTTGTATATGGCATGTATGAAATCATTAAGATTCTCTCCTGGTAATCAAATGACAGAAACATTTGGTGTTTTGCCATTCAACCTTTTACGACTGAATCAAGCTGTCTAGAATATCACAAAATCTTTATGGAAAGTGTGTTCTATTTAGTTCATAGTGATCTAATGCTTTATTTAACACACACTCTCTGTATAGAATTCCACCTTGTGGCTTAATTTCACCATGCCGTTCCTCCTCATGCATGTGAAAATCGACCGTGACCCGATAGTCAACCTAATTTGTACTGCTTTATACACATTTGAATGACAGCGAAATATAACTGACTTTTATTTGCAAAATCGAAATTATAAGTCATTGTAATTATCTTGTATCAAGTTGTTTCAGCTTTATTTATGCCATGCATGCAATTACAACAAAAAAAAGCTCTATACCAGTGGCACAGTGTTGGTGCAGCCATTTAGGGGACACTGGCACCATGGAGGGGGGGGGGGGGGCTACCTTTGTTGTCGATTAGGGGAGGGTGTTGGAAGGGGCTCGTATCATATTCTTTTTCAGGTTTATTTTATTCAGTTGCCTCTCTATCTTTTTCTCCCTTTTCCTTTTCTTTTTGTCATCACTGTATGGAGGAGGGGGTAGTTATTCCGTGTCCCCTGTATCTTTGACTCTGCTCTACAAAATGTAAAGGGAAATTATTGCATTATTTCGCAATCAGTAAGCTTAATTTGACTTTGACCGGAGCATGAAGCATGAATACCACCCACTCACGATAACAATGTCCAAGTAGAATAACGATTGAATTATAAACTCATTGAATATATTTTGAAAACAAAATTTGACGTAGACGTCACGTACAGAAGGTTCAAGGTATTTATTACCCTATACATATGGTAATTATAGCGACACCAGCAACGAGTTTGCAAGTCATGTAGTATAGACGATGGCTGTAATGAGGTGTCAGCTCTATACAACTGTAGGGATCAAACAAAATATCAAGAAAAAATAATAGTTTCAATATTTCCTCTTTTCTTAAAACCATGAAACTTGCTAGCGTGTATAGGAAACAGAAGGTCTATATATTGGGCTTGCCCATAAACAAATTATGACGTTCCATTAAATGTATATCTCATCACATGTGGGTAGGAAGACATTTTCTAACAAACTTGATTGAAATACTGTTGTCATATAGTTGGTTTAGTCTCTGTAGATGCCTCCGAAGAAAGACTTTTGGTATTGCATACTTCATCGAAAGATATACATAAAATATACATGCGTTGCTTTTAACAATAACACAGAGAACAATTGCAATATATTCTGCTAATAATACAAAAGAGATACTAAATCATATCATAGATATCTACGTTTATAATTGATATAGTTTTGAGCAAATTACAGTCACTACCAATGCACTTAAAAGTACTTAATGTAAGCAGCATATGTATTTGTTCCGATTTGAAAGACTTGAATATTGAAATACCTTGCGAATATGCGAAAGTCATAAAGTTCGAAAGCACTAAAGTCTAAAAACGAATTACCATGTACATACAGTTTAAACCTCGAATCTATACAGATAAATGACAAGATATCCATTATTATTGATATAGCAAATTAATGTCTCTTTGTCAACATACGGGTTAAAATGTTGACATTCATATCATTTATGGTTTGAATAACATCACTATTCATGAGAACTCTACAAAACAATTTAGAAACAAAATTAACATAATATCACGAATAAAAAATATACAAAATATGGAAGCCTGTAGAATATGATCACATAGACTTTCGGGAAAATTCTACATATTGCAATTTCAAGCCTTGTGCGTTATCTTTTGAATGAGTGAACAGTTCGATGACATATATTTCATAAGCCGAGTATGATTTCTAGAGGCAATGGCGCAATGAAAGTCCCTCTATTTAGGTGATTTTTCAAAAGTCCCTGGAGTCATATTTTAAAGTAAATTCAAAAGTAACATTTTACTAGTAAACAACTTATGGAAGCCTGTAGAAACACAATCATTCAGACTTTCGAAAAATGGACCTAATTCTCAGTATTTCGAGAGCCCTCTCATGCGTTTGCGTCACCTTTTAAGTTTACAAAAGTGTATCATATAACTAAAAGAAGATTCCTCGAAAGTCCTTGTTGTCGTCTTCAAATAATAGGGACTTTTAGATTTGCGTGGACTGATACGTGTGACGTCCATTCAAGGCAGTGCATTAAAATGACGTCGACCGTAGCAATCCACATTGTGTTCGTGCGAATCTAAAAGTCCCTAATATCAGCATAGATATACATACTTTCTCCCCCAGAAAGTTGGAATAATTTATCTTTACCTCTTTTCATGAAATGATTGTGACAATGATGTTTTTATATTCCCAGAGCTTTATTGATCAATCTCTATGAATCGTGAGATATTTCTGGGAAGATATAAACTTATCTATCATCGTATCATCACAATCAATTCCTGAAGAGAGGTAAAGACAAATTATTCCCACTTTATGGGGCTACCGTGTATGTCGTGATAATTCTGTCATAATAAACATTTACCTTGTAATTTGTACATTTTGTCAACATACATGTACATTGCTATTACATTTATTGTACAATTACAATTGTAATTTTACAATAATGTCCATACACTAAGTCATAATATAAGTATTTTGGAAGTCATATATAGTAGATCATGAATCATATCCATTTGATAATCAGTACATGAGGGAATTCAAGTTGATCTCAATTCTGTTTTGGCTTCTTACACAATTTAATATTCAAAACACCACACATTGATTATTGCAAGATAAGAGACATTATAATTGTGATCAGGTCTGAAGAAAAAGAAGTTTTACCATAGGTGTCCCAAGTTATAATTTTTGTTGTGAATCTGTACATTTAAAATTTCTTTCATATGTAACGTTTAGTCGCATGTAATTCTGTAATAGAACTGTATAAAATAATGATATCGGGCCGCATTCATACCATTACGAGTTATGGCCTTCATAAACGAGAACTTCACTCTCACTTAAATCTGCATTTCTTATGATTACTTTTCCTGAGGTTAGTTTGAAGCTCTCAGGCATTACTGCGTGATGAATAAAATACTATTCTCGTAACTAGAAAGTGTACATTGAGTATGATCCATCGGATCCGATTTTTGTGAAATACACAATTTAAAGAATCCCTCGAAGACGCCATTACTCCAAGTCTCATGTTCACATAAAAGAATTACAGGTATACCAAAAGGTTCGCCTAGAAGTAATCCTTATCGGATGCTACACTGGACTGGCTAGCATGGGTCCTTGGTCCAGGCCGACTACCCCTAGGATCACCCCTATAACCACCACTCTGGTAGCTGTACCCTGGGTGGTATCCAGCAGGACTCCTCATCGTCGAAGGCGACACTGGACTCGCATGCGGTGACATCGGGCTAAACACAGCCACATCCCCTTCCTCGTACTCCAACCAATCACGAACTCGTTTCTCAATGTCCTCGCTTCGTAATTTCTGATCGGGTGGCTCGTTTCTTGATTTCTTCGAGTTGAGTCGCCCGCTGGCGCCTGGTTTCCCTTGGGTTGGTGAGAGATCTAGACCACCGAATTCTTCCTGGAGCATTTCGATGAAGATGAAGTCGGACCCGTCCCGGCTTACCCCGCTGAAAGAATCGCTAAAGAGAGTTGAATTGCTCTCGTCGGTCGAGGAGGTATTACCGGTTGAAGAACGAGATCGCGGCAGAGCCGGGTTTTTGTAGTATCGAGCACCGTTTTGTTTTTGGAAGGCATCCGGATGCTGATGAGCATCACCAGGTGTGTTTGTAGGTTTGGGTGCCCTCTGAGGATACTGAGACATTTCCGTCGTTGGCATAGATACTCGAGGGTCATAATGACGTGAAATGGGTTGCTGGATTGGCCTGCCTTGGACATCCATTTGGTTTTCAGCCATCATCCTGGGACCAGGTGGAGCTGCGTAGAGCATTCCTGGAGCAGTTCCATTGTAGCCTTCCCGTGGTGTAGGATGTCCAGCATGAGGTTGTGGTGGTGCCACAGCAGGATCCAGGGCAGACTGTCCTGGTGGTAAACCGACCGGTCTGCTCTGACCATGATTCCTGGCCAATCGCACAGCCGCACCCTTATTCTTCGCGCCATCGAGGATGACAGAGTACATGGTCAAATCAGCAGCGGTCAATGATTCGTTAGGCGATGTCGGAGGAGAGAGATCGAACGAAGGACCACTCATCACGCTCTGCTGTCGGATCAACTTGCGCTCCTGTCGCATCCGTCTTCGCTTCTGCAAGTCTTCAAACACTTCAAGGAAAGTACGAAGCAACCAATAGGTTATCTCACTTGCCTCCTTCTTTCTTTCACAATGAAAAGCATGGCATTCGAATAAACTGTTCTCAGGGTTTGAATCTGTTCTGGTAATGATGGCAAATACTTTAGGATGCTGTTCGTCTGCTACACCATAGCAGATGTGATGAATAGGGATCAAAACGTGTTTCTCCTTACCAAAGGCTCCGTTCAAGTCCAGGAAATGGAAACCCTTTTCCGTAATCTGTAGAGCCGATTTCTTCGGCGATTTCTGTCGATCCTTCAGCTTCATGAGAGCCTCAACAGGTTCGGAAATATATTCCCTTCCATACTCGCCCCTGGCCGGCATCTTACCCAGATATTGTACGGGAAATACGGGACACTTCTGATCGACGGAACCTCTTCCGCTTCGGGGCAACCCGCCCCGATCCTTCTCCAAACTTTTCCGCATAATCAGATTCTTCGATGCCATTCTGCTTTAGTTTAGATTCCAAAGAAATCAGAGTCCAGTTTCATCAAATCACTGTCATTATTCCATGTGAATATGCTCCAACAAGTGTTTTCCGGAGCCGCGCTATACCATCACTTAGCTTTGGTGGTATATCCTGTCTATGCAAAGCTATCACTCCTCAATAACATGATAGAATAGTGTGTCCTTCTAAAGCGGGAAGCCTATCGACCCCGAAAGGTTCGCTCGGTCGATGGGTGAACTAAATTGTCACGAAACACAATGGCAAACAATTCTTTGACGTAGGCTTTATTCTTTTCTCTCACGATCCCCGGCAAGTATAGTCTGGTAGAGCTAGAGGGAAAAAGAGCTGGGACGAGAAGAGCGATTTAGTCCTTTTGTAAAGATTCACTGACTCGTGGCATGGTTGAAGTCGTTTCGAGTCGTGCCAGACCAACATCATTAGCATATTCCAGGGGGTGGGAGAGTTAAAGAATGCTTAAGTTATCCAACCATCAGCCAGACAGGAAATAAAGTAGCTAAAATGAAGAAAAAAAATACCGCTATGTTCAGCTAATTGGGGATCCAAAAATGGCGTCACATTGTTTTGCTTTTTGGCAGTATTATCAATGTCTGTAACGAAAACAGTTTATGCATCGAATCGCGAGATATCGAACTAAAAGTATTATAAATCAAAGCCGGTGTTATGTAGATCTACTTTATCTTCCGCATGGTGTTGTTTTAGTTCTATGAAGTTTCAAAATGTTGATATTTCCCCCTTATTTTTCTCCAAAATTCCTCCAAGCAGACAACAAACGGATGTCTTATCTGTCCAAAAAACACACGGGAACGACATAAGCTTTGTTGATTATATCCCATATATACAAGTACTTCGACCCCAACAAGATTGGTCTTATGTGTATCGTAAAAGGCTCTTACAACATATGGAATGTAGGAATATAGTTATACAGGTGGACTTCGTCCTCAATAAATCTCCAAAGCTTCCTTGAATTTATCAACGGCTAGAGTATAATAATCATCAATCTTTGAATTATGAAAAATGATCATATTTCATCAAAAATAATATTACTGTGATGAACCCATTCCATCTTAATTTCTATATGATATTCGACAGGACAGGCTATTATCACTGTGTAAACTTCAAAGTTATGTGGTATATGCACTATATGCAATGAGCCGATTAGTCTGTAATATTGCACAAGAACAAGGTCTTTTATTCTACATCCATCGTGATTGAACTTTGGTCTGTATCTTTTCGTGATGATGTTGACTCTGTCGCGGTTACACGGTGGTACAGAAAGCAACGCATGTTAGAGACTGATGTCCTGGTTACTGTAATAATAATATTAAATTTTTTTCTTCAGGTTTTTGGACCCTCCGACAGGCCATTTTATTTAAAATCAATCTCTGAATAACATATTTGAATACAATCATTTACAAATGAATACCATCCATAATCGATGACTGAAAGCGTAGCATATTGTTAATAATTATGATAATAATAATAAATCTGTATATACAGAACATGGATTTAAAAAAGATTAAAAAAACAATGCAACATCATGACTGAAAATAATTTGGGAAATTCAATGAAGTAATACTAAATGATCAAAATCCTCTCAAAATTGGCAATTTTTTTATCAAATTTGTCAGTTTTGTTAGCAAGCATCCTAACCTGCCTTTCATTTATGTAACTATTCCTGATATATTGTTTTATTATCTGGAAGACGGTATAGACTTTTGTATTGTAATAATAATATTACAATATTTATAAAAACGAAGAAGATATATGCAATTTATATTCTACTGCGGTGCAAGAGCTCCTGGTTGGTGTGTTGGTTTTATTAACGATCATAAAATATAAAATACAAACATCATAACAGACAAAGAAACAAAATAATTTACATGAACTATTTTAGAAAATAAAATATTAAAATCATGATTTTTTTCTTCTTCACTTTACCTCTTCAGAGGGACTTTATTGTTCCATTTCAAAATACATATATTATTTACAAAACAAGTAAAATGAAACATATGAATTATATACAAGATCAACATAATTTCTTAAAATTATCATTTTAACATTTCTAATACTTTCTTAACTTTTTCATTATCGAAGTATCTTATATTTTCTTTGTATTTCAAATAAAATGTTAATGATGAAATAAAATTATTTATTAACCTCTTTGGGTTGGTTAGTACTTCCCCAAAGTTCCGCTTTACGTAGTCTTTGTATATAACCAGTTGAGCATAATTTATCAAAAAATTAAGTAAAGTAAATTTTCTATTATCTATTTTATATCCAATCAATAAAATTTTCATATCAATTTCAATGTATTTAAAAATGAAGAAAATAACTCTTGAGATAATTTTCCAGAAATCTCTTAATTTCTTGCAACGAAATATAAAATGTTCAATAGTTTCTTTTTCACGACAAATTTCACATTCGTTAGACTGTACGATTTTCCGTATGAAGAGATTGTATTTAGATGGCAATATTATATGAATTAATTTGAAATGATATTGTTTGATATTATTGTCTCTTATGTTATTAAATTTGAACTGAAATACATCTTTCCAAACAAATGTTTCTGGTAGGCCTAAAATATTTTGCCAGAAATGTAAACCAATTTTCTCTTTTTTCTTTTTTATCATTAAATTATAGTAACTTTTCGCTGTCGTAAATTCAACGTTTATAACATCTGAAGTGGTCTCAATGTACATTGTTCATTAAGACTTGAAGCTTTGTTTAAACGTAAATTTTGTGACCACTATTTTGGGAATGCTTTTTTTAATTTTGACATTTTGAATAAAAACAGCAGATTCTTTACATCAAAATGGTTATTGAATAGAGAGTTATCTATCCATGTACCTCATGTAAACAGAAGAGGAAGCAGAGAGCTGTGAAGGTCTGTTAAAAGAGACGGAATGCTGGAAAGCATTGTCTACTATAAATTTAAATAAATCACCTGGGAGTGACGGTCTATAAGTGTTGAATTGTATAAATGTTTTGGGAACAGATAAAGGACATGGTGATAAATAGTTTAAACGAAGGGTATAAGAGGCAAGGGCTCTCGTTCACACAAGGTCAATCTATTCTTACTATTTTGTATAAAAAGGGCAAGAAGGGTTCTCTTGATAATTGGCGACCGATTTATCTCCTTAATATAGACTATACAATTGCAGCACGTGTTTTTTCAATACGGCTACAACGAAATAAATAACTTCTGCCGATCAGAGGGGTTTTGTAAAGGGTAGAATGGCAAATGAAAATATAAGACTTGTACAAGATGTTATTGGTTATTGTAATTTAGCAAATATTGAGGGTATCATTTTATGTTTAGATTTCAAAAAGGCGTTTGATAATGTAAATCACTCATTTCTTATTGAGACATTAAAACGTATGCATTTCAAGATTTCCTTTATAGGATGGATTAAAGCTTTATACACATTTTATATTCAAAAGGGCGTTCGTCAGGGCTGCCCAGTATCAGCTTCGTTATTTATATTAGTGGCAGAAATATTAGCAAATAAAATTCGAGAAAACAATAAAATAAGAGGGATAAATATTACAACTAAAGATATAGAAGTTCAGAGGGTTAGCGAAGAAAAGATACAAAATTCGCAGATGATACCACATTATTTGTTAATTCAATGGAATCAGTAGATAATGTTTTGAAGGAGTTAGACGATTTTGAATATTTTGCAGGTCCAAAGATTAATTGGAATAAAACAAAAGTAATGAAAATGAAAGAATTAGATACGACAAAATATGATATTTAATTTACAGAAGAACCAATTAAACATTTAGGTGTTTACGTTGGTAAAAATGATAAATATGTTAGCAGTATGAATTGGGAGGGGAAAGTTGAAAAAATCAATAATGTTCTTAAGACGTGGAACATGAGACGACTGACCTGTTATGGAAAAAATAATAATTATAAAATGTTTGATAATTCCTCAGCTCGTCTATTTAGGCACAGCTAACTCAATGCCTATTCATAATAATTATGCAAGGCTTTACATAGGACTATAATTATATACATCTATATGAAATTCTAAACGTGAAAAAGTAAAACGGAATGCTTGTATCAAGTTAGAAAGAGAAGGGGGGGGGGGGCTTGGTATGATTGATTTGATTTTGAAAGCTAATTCACTTATATTATCTTGGATATATAAGTTTTTTAATGCAGATGATGGAATGTGGAAAACATTTTTTTCATTTTGGACTGAAAGAGCTGGCGGGATGCCGTTTTGTTTACAGTATAATTATTGTCATATTAAACACATGAAAATGATATGTAAAAAAAAAAAATTACCAACGTTTTATATGGATTTGCTTTGCACATGGTCAGAAATTCGATATGTAAATAAATTTGAAGTAAAAGATATTCCCAATGAAATACTTTGGAATAATAGTAATATTGTAATTGATAATAAACCTCTGTATTTCCCGTCGTGGATTAAAAAAGGAATTTGTCAAATCAAACATGTTATCAATCAAGGTACACAAACTGAGCATAGCCAATTTTTGACCCATAATAATGAAATTTTCTCGTCCCAATTAATGCTGTATCGTCTTGTTACCAACTTGCAAGGCCATCTCAACAACGCCATCCATCAAATATCAACCATTATTCTCGGTTGGGTAGTTCTACTTGGAGGTTCATGGCTTAATTGTCCCGACAGTATTTAGGTATTCCTTTATAGAATTTTCTTGTAAAATAAAATCATTCGACGATAGGTCAAATCGTTAGTACCTTTCAATTAATCTTTAAAAAAATACTTCAAAAATTACTGTAAAACTATCTAGATTCTCATACGAGTTTAATTTACCATTAAGCTGTAGGCCTTCTAGAGAAGTTGCCCTGGAATTGAATGGTGTAATGATATAAAATGGGTTTTCCTACCTTGCATGTTTGGGATAGCTGGTAGGGCCTATGTATCTCTTTTGCTTCATTCTCTAGCTGCTCTTCTGTTATCCATTTCTAATACATCTACTGTGGTACCCCTTCGCGCACACACCGATCGACCCCCCCCCCTCTTCGGCCCTCCGTTCCCCCTCCCCCTTTCACACTTTCCCCCAAAATGTAATGTGCCAAAGGACAGTAATTTAAAAGTAACAGCAAAGATTTTAGCGGCATGTCTACTAAAGCTGGAGCAAACTATACACAAATTAAAAAAAAATTATCAAATTAAAATCACCGAAACAAAAAGATTAGCATCTGAGGAACTAACACTTCAACAAGCTCTGCTTCAAGTTAGTTCCTCTTTTCTCGTGCTTTTACCATTATATTTGTCATTTGTTTGCATATTTTTTGTGATATAATAATTCTTGTATTAATGTATGTTTTGCATGAGAAATAAAACCATTTGAATCATTGAATCATGTAATGATCAGCAGTGGCTTAGCTTTACGTTCCGTATCGTATTGCGAAAGAAGAACTTTACGAAGGAAAGGGGAGAAGAAGATAGGGCATGCAGAAGGAGGATGACCCCCCCCCCCCCTCCTCACATTATGCTTCCACACTCGCTACGCCATGATGACTGCATGGGCTATTAATCACAGCAAAATACTGGCGCCTATACATTTCCGCCACCGCCACCAATACGGTGTAAGGTGGTACGATACGTACGCGGCACCGCGGTGCCATCTTAATTCCTGACCCCCCCCCCCCCTCCGACTCCTAGAACGGAGGGACCATATTAATTCATGTTCCCAAAATCTTCGGTAAAAGGGTACTTTTCACGCAACAAAGTCCGGCTAGTATTAATACACACACACACGCACACACTCACAAAAAAAATCGGCTCGTATTGACTTTACACAGTGTACCGGACTTAAGGGATCGAACATACGCGTACCCTAAATAACACTGAGTGGGGGGGGGGGGGGGGGGGGGGGGGGGGACCGTGATTTTTGTTTCTTACCTCCGGCTTTCATGAATATAAGTGACTATATGATTTTTTATTTAACAGATAGAGTTCATACTTTCTCAGAACTTTATAAAGAAGAATAATATCACAATCATTTCCTGAAAAGAGGAAAGAAAATTAATCCAACTTTATTATATCTGCAACTTTGGGCGAATAATATATAGGTTGAATTATACTAAAAGAATAGAGAAATAGACCTGGCAGGAAAGTTATCACGCTGTACGTCAATGAACTTTAAGAAATATATATATATATATATTTTTTTTGGTTAAAATTCAGTTTGTTTCTTTCCTTTGTCTTTATTTATCTTTTTCTTGATTTTTCTTTGTCTTTATTTGATTTTGTATTGATTGTTTTTTGTAAAATAATTCTAGCAAATCATTTGCAGAAACTATGTGCTACCTAATTTCAACAGAAATAGTACAGAAGAAGCGATTGCAGAATGACTCCATATATAGTTCCGTACTTCAAAATTTAAACAAGTAACAATTTTAAGAGTGTACTCTTTTTCTAACTATATAGCACAAAGCTTTTTATACCAGGCCTATTATATTTGGCATGCTAATTGGCTCACATGTTCATGTGTCAAGCTTGGGTACGGGTCATTGCATAATTATATGAGGTGATTCTCGCGATTTACATCACAAAGGTGGAGGGGAACACTACCGAAAGCAGGGACTAGACTTCTAGATCTATTTATGAATTGTGAATAGATTTTCACAAAATAAGCGTTTCATAAACTGAAAACTGTTACTCATTGAAAATGAGTGGTTTTGTCGGAGATTTAAGTGAGAAGCAATCGAAAGCACTGAATGAGGTAAGTGATCAGACGACAAATTGTCTATCTTCAGTCCCACACAATATTGTTTGTGTAGGGCATAGAGCCTAACCGCTCTCAATTCAATTTCAATCCCATCTGATTCCGAACTTCCTAATCCTAGAGTTAGATAAAAAGGACTGTAGCTCATTTTGTTTCCCCCCCCCCTCTTAAAAAAAAATTCTCTCTGAATATGACCTCGTAATGAGGTATCAAGAGATAAGGATAGCTTAACTAAAGTTTGAATACAAATATTATCGTTATACTTCACAGATGAAATTAGCACATTTAGCAGACCTTTTTTGTGCATTTTTCCCCCAGTGTTTTGAACGTTGTTTTCTATGTCTTATTTGTTGAAGGGGTCTAATCATCCTCATGTCACCCTGTATTCTGTTTCGTCTTTTACTCCCTTTATTTGGTTGATTAGTTTATTATGTATGATTTTATAATGTAAACACAAAGCAAACAAACAAAAATCTTGCAATTTTTGTGTCTTCATTACAGCTAAAATCTAGATTAGATGGAGTTGATCTTCCCGAACCAGATGATGTTAATATTGATTCCTACCTCTTAAAATGGCTCAGGGGTAAGTCTTGATTATTAATCCCATTCCTTTTTTGTTAATACTCACATTTAATGATGATTATGTTGCTAAATGTCAAAATGTATTTGTTTCCATGTTGCTTTTACGTTGTTTTTCATTTGTGAATTTTAGTCAGTTCATGTAGATGTTTTGTTTTGGAGAAATTCTTGACATAAGAAAGTGATCAACATATTTTTTTGAGGCACACGTGCTGGAATATATTATATAGGTATAATGTATGGTCACAAATAACATACTTTAATATTTAGTAGCACACAGTTAACAAGTATCCTATATTTTAGATGAGCTGCATGCTTATTAGCAAGAGAGATGATCAGAAAATATCATCATCATCATCATCATCTATACGGGAGTGTAGGATATCCTGTAGGTCTCCCGGTCAGATCACTTGGTACATTAGTAAAGGTCTGACCAAAAAGAATCCAAGCTGTTACTAAACCGTAACAATTTCTTTTTGTTACTTATTACCCTACAGCTCGTCAATTTAATGTTGAACAAGCAGAACATATGCTAAGAAATGTAAGTACTACATGTTAGTATAGCCTTTAAAAGTTGATGGTATTTTGATACCAAGGTACAATATACACATATTAGGGAAAACACAATTTATCTTCAAGAATAATGCATTGAGCGAAAACTTATGAAAACAAGTGTGTTGAAATTACAGATAGCATATAAATACCATACAGGAATATATATTGAAGCTGAGCATTGAAATTGAAATAAGACAAATTACATGTGGCCATCCACCGATAATTTTGTGCAAAAATAAATTCCATTTTGGTTTGGCATTGACCTTTTCAATTCAAATACATTGCACGTCAGATTTCACTTCCAAATATAATTCAGCTACTGCTATCTGTTCATTGTTTTTCTAAACCTAAGCAGATTTTATATGATACTTTTGATCACATGAGTCATGATCTTTTTTCTTGTCGGTTGTCACACCGTTTATATCACGTTTACAGCTCAACATTTTTCAGATTGTTTCTTTCTCTTTACTTTCAGCATTTATCATTCAGGGAAAAGTGGAACGTGCAATCGCTGCTAGACAATTGGCATCCACCCGAGGTAAACAAAAAATCTTGTCTGCCATTGTTTTAAATTGCTATCCTTTTAAGAAGATATTTGTAATAGATGCCATTTAACACTGAAAATCGTCTGTTTTGGAACCAGAAGGGCAGGAACTGATTTCATTTAACCCGCTGCCTACTGAATTAACTAATTCCCATAGGCTTAACACAGGGACCACGCGGTTCCAGTAAGCAATGGATTAAACAAAGTTGATGACCTTCAAGCTCCAAACAGACAAAATTACATGGTACCCCCATACAAGTCTAAACAAACTAGAAAAAGCACTAATTAATGAATTATTTCCTTAGAAATTTGAGATTGGAGATAATTGCATGTAGTAAGGCAATACATTGTATATAGCTTTGCCATCACAATTGTTTCATGAAAGGTTGACCTTTGTTTGAAACATTGAAAAAATTGTTCAGTATTTGTTCACAATTATAGTTAGATGTTGCTAATCAAAAGTGAAAGTAAGTGGACCAAATATAAATAGCTCCATGAAAGTTTAATGGTATAGGTTAATGATTTGTTTCAGGATTAAAATTTGTAGAAGAAAAAGAGTTTGGCCCAAGATTTAAATGAATAATTTGAATTGCTAAATTGATGATTAAGCCATATTGTCCCAGAGCAAGTTAACAATCGCTTAAAAATTGAGATATAATGAGCTAGCTATACAATGTAGAAAAGTATTAATTTTGAATATAATTTTATCATTACCGTTGTACAGGTGCTGGACAAATACATGGTCGGAGGCTTGTGCGGGTTCGACAAAGGAGGCTCACCTGTTTGGTACGAGCCGTTTGGTTACTTTGACCCGAGGGGTGTGGTTCTGTCGAGTACGGGAAATGACCTGACGAAAATGAAGATCCAGATATGTGAAGAAATCCTCTCTCAGCTCAGGTCACAGACAAAGAAGGTGAGAGATCATTTGAATCATTTGAAATTGCAAATATCCCAAAAGGAGCAACAGATATCTTGCAAATGATTACACAAACTCTAAAACCAGAACTATATTGCAATGTTGTTATTGTCAGCGATTTTGATGGCAAGAAACTTCCCAAATTCATTAAAACTCACTGTTGTGTCAGTTTGTGATTCAGTCTTTTTGCAGCATGAAAGTTTGGCTAATCTTGACTACTCATGAACTTTGCAAAACATTACATACACGCACCTGTAAATTTCTGGTTGCACAGTAAAGGCTTTTTCAGATACCGGTAAGCTGCAGTAAACCACCACAATTAACAGAAAAATACACCTTTTTTGGGGGGGGGGGGGAGGGGGGGGGGAGGGGGGAGGAGGCATAAATGGATGAAAAGTGTCGCAACAAAGGTCGTACACATATTCACTGAACTCTGTGTCATAAGACACAGAAATGTGAAGCGAATTACACTTTACGTCGTAATTTTTTTTTGCTGTTTTCCCGCTTATATCTGATCGAGGCCTAATAGTCATTACCGGTATATCAAGATTTCTCAAGGTATTAACAAAATTTGTGAGTTGCAGGCTGTGGAATGGTCATTTTCTTTGCATCATTTTCTTGATCTATAGTTGTTGCCCTTAAGATTCATGGTTTTCATCTATACAGAGTGAGTCAAAAAAATGTTTACACCTAGAAAAATGCTAATTATTTTAAAAATCTTCTATGAACAGTAAATTGTTATACATCTTATGAAAGACTTTTTTATCCCAAATAATTTGGTATCATTTTTGTGTGGTATGTGTTCATGCTTGGATGAAAAGGAGGCATTGTTTGCGAGAGTGCAAAAATCGACTTGCGCCAAAGTTGCTTATGTGATGTTTGAATAAAAAAATTGGGATTTGGGTTTTAATTGGTCTTTGCAGATCAAAAAAACATCCCTAACAAAATTAATCATGCCACACATATCAAATATCTAATATCAAATATCAACGAACATATGTGCGTGCGTGTGTGTGTGTGTGTCTTTGCTTCTGCATAAAAGCATACATGAAATGCATTTCATTTGATACATTCAATTCATTCCCTCACTCCGCTCATCCCAACACAATACATACTGTACTGTACGCATCACTTTGACGCAAGTCAATTTTTGCACTCTTGCAAACAATGCCTCCTGTTCATCAAGCGCGAATACATACCACACAAAAATGATACCAAATGATTTGGGATAAACACTCTTTCATGAGATGTATAATAATTTACTGTTCAAAAATGATTTTAAAAATAGTTAGCAATTTTCTAGGTGTAATTTTTTTTTGACTCACACGGTATAACATGCATGTAGATGTTCTGAATCATTTCTTTAATTGTTGATCTGTTACATATAGCAACATAATGCATACTTAATAAATAGTTGTGATGCAGTAATTCTAAGTGATTTTTTTAACATGTTGATAAATACTCCTTCTATAGCTAGGGAAGCCGATAGACAGGATGGTCATTGTGTTTGACTTGGAGAAAGCGGGTCTCTCTCACATCTGGAAGCCATTCATCGATCGATACAACCTCATCCTGCAAATATTCGAAGCCCACTACCCAGAAATGCTCAAAAAGTGCTTTGTGATTAATGGTAAATAAGTTCTATTGCTATCAGCAGATGGAAATTTTTATTTTTTAACATACCGGTAGTACAATATAATATTCTACTGCTGACAGTACATTTTAGTTTTTAATCTTCAAGCTAACAAAAAGGAGCAAATAGAGAGAGACAGGGTAGTGCAAAAAGACAAGTAATGGCTAAAATTGTGGGAGTTGACATTTCCTGTTTTCTGTGAACTTAGTGTGTTGCTCATGGGGACTATTTTTTATATGATTGCTGTCAAATGGAATGCTCCCCAGGGAGTGGAGATTGTGCACACAGTGTGTACGGGCAAGCACTGAATCCAATGACCGTGGTAATAGTATATTTGTAAAGCGCTCAGAGACATTGCATTGAGCACTATATAAAAGCTAAATATTATTATTATTATTATTATTATTATTATTTATATGGAATTCTCTAAAAATGTACTCCGGGTGCTGCCATGTTCAAGGGAAAGCAATTTGAGATACACATTATACAAAAAGAATGGATGACATGTTAGAAAGTATTGTAAAACCAGAAACTCGCATCTATGAAAATGTCGTGAATTTTATATGGGGAAACTTTTTGCTGTGAACCATAAGTGACACAAGTTTCTTGCCACCATGACGCAAATGGCTGTCATATACATGCATAATCTACTGAAGTTTCTGGTTTTACAAGCATAGATTGAAGAAATGCTTTTATTTTTGTCTCGGTTATTATGTACATCTAGCTCCAGCTTTCTTCTCGATCGGTTTCAACTTGATCAAGAAATTCCTGAGTGAGGCTACCAAGAATAAAGTCGTTGTTCTTGGAGGTAAGATACATCAACAAACATTTTAGATGGAAACAGTGATAGTAGTGGTAGTGGTAGTGGTATTGGTAGTGGTGGGGGTAGTGGTAGTAGTAGTTGTAGTTGTAGTAGTGATGATGGTGGTGGTGGTGGTGGAGGGTAACCTCGCTAGTCATAAGGACCGCTATTCATCACGTGTAACTTCCTATACCTGATGGTCAGCTTTTCATAAAACGTAAAGGGGGTTACTATTCATAAAGTTATAAGGACCGTTATTCATAAGGGCTGCTATTCATGAACATGAAGAAGGGGCGCTATTCTTAATTTATATTGGGGGTCACTACTCGTAAAAACCACTATTCATAATACGAAATGAGGGTCGCTATTCATAATACGAGAAGAGAGTGAATCGCGACCCTCTACTCGTATTATGAATAGGGACCCCCATGAATAACAACCCAAATTTTGTATTATGAATAGCGACTCTCTTCTTCGATTATGAATAGTGGTCCTTATGAATAAGTACCTTATGAATGATGACACTTTTCTCAAATTATGAAAAGCGGTACTGATGAATAGCATGTGGACCTTAGTGGTGGTGGTGAAATAATAGATTTTTTAAAGAATATGCATAATGATCATGTGGCTGGAAACGTGGTCAGGGGTTGGTGAACAGATGCTCAAAGACTTTTCGACAAATGACTTGTTCTTTACCAGTATGTGTTGAATTTATACATGCACCTTATCCTGTAGAATCATAGGTAGAAATTAAAGTAAATTTCAGTGTGGTAAATATACAATAGTATTGTTATAAGAATGTGAAACTGAAGTGATGGAACTATTTTTACTGCCTCCATATTTAACCCATGCAAGGTGGACTTGCTTTGTATGCAAAACCGTAGTGATCAAAGAGAACTTAAAGATATTGACATAAATACTTTTAGGAGCATAGTATGTTTAACATTGTCATTAGTGTTATCATGTGTGTACACATCCTGGATGTAGTGTAACCAGTGGCCTCTAGAAGGTTGATTGAAGCCTTGTTCAGTATGTTCACACACAATGGGGGAAAAAACGGGAAAAACCCCACATCTGCAAATAAAATTATGTACGCATGGTGCACTTCACATTTCTTAATCTTATATTATTATGAAACATGCAGATAAGTGTATATTCTAAGGGGCTGTTGTTGCATGCAGCTAAACTTTCTTGCTCCTAACAGTGAAATACAAAGCACATACGATGATACATACATGCATGTACATTAAATGTGTAGGAAAATTGAGATTGTGATTCTGGGATAGTATTACTTTGATATCGACAGGGAGTTCATTTTTAGGGGTGGCGATTCTGGCAAGTTTGCACCCTTCCTAGTGTAATGTTACTTTGTAAGTGCTATTTGTAAATGTGATGTCAAAGTTCATTAACGAGACAAGTGCCTCTTTAATATTATATACAATACCATGAGGGTCATTTGTTGGAACAACTGTCTGCATGCCATACTAGTATCAAGTATTTGTTTAGCGATAGCTTGTTTGCAAAGCACTCAGCGTAGATATGTTTCTTTCTACGTATTCAGCCTAGTGGATGTTCAACAATGCATGTACAGGTACATGTAAGTGCTCTATTTTACCCTGAATACTTGAAGAAAAAAATGTTATAGTTATTATGAATAAACTAAAAACGTTTAAATGGGATATCTGTTTATGGTTATGATGGGTGTAGTTCTGTTAAAATATTTTTTTTCCTTTTTTTTTTCCAGGGAATTACCAGGATGTATTAAAAGAAGCGATAGGTGAAGACTTGCCTGCTCATTTTGGTGGTACAGTATGTGACCCAGATGGTGACCCCCGCTGCGTGTCAAAGGTGAGAGGTCATACAGCTTGCAAATATCTTCACCCCTTCATGACTTCAATAGCCAGAGAATACTTGTGTACAAATCCAATGGCTATGTTTGTTTTTAAGTTTGAAAAGTAACATTGTATCCAATGGGATAATCTTGGAACAATACTGTATCATCACCTTTCATAGCCCGACATTGAGCATGTACATAGCCACAATCAGAACTCGAAATCTTGGGATATTACACAGCTACAAACAATCTACCTACCTGGTAGATACATCACATAATTTATTGTGTCAGCATAAGTCACAATTTTACCCGATACACTCTTTTGTCAGTTAATTGTAAAAATTATCAGTTATTTTGAGCCAGCAGGCCTGGCAAGACTAAAAAAAAGTACATTTATATCAAGTTAATAGTCAACAAGATATTGTTTACCGATGAAACCGATAATTAATGATAAAAATGATGAAGATAATATTGACTTTATTGTGTTGTACACATTGCCATTGCTTCTATGCCTCTAAGCAGTTGCATTTATTTCAATTGTTGTGAATGAAGTGAGTGAATTTGTCTGTTTGATAATTTATTCACATTCTAGATCCGATTTGGTGGAAAGGTGCCTGAGTCATTCTACCTGAAGGATAATTTCATGCATGAAGGCAGACTGACTGAGGTCAATATAGGTCATGGGTCAAACTTAGAGCTTACGTACGAGGTCAAGGAGGAAGGCCATGTACTCAAGTAAGAGCATCATATTCATCTATCTCCTCTTCTACAAGCTTTACATTCTCACTTTAAATGTTCATTAAATTTTGGAAAAGATTTTAATGGAGAAATAAACAATTTTTTACTTAATGTGCAGTATCATTTTTTAAAGCTTGCAAATAAATAACTAAACAGCATGAAAGTAAGCAGTGTCATCTAGTCTATATGTTTGTATGAATACTTGCATCTATCTGATGAAAATCATGATTCAGTGTGTACTTATTAACAGCCTTTTTTTAAGATACAGTATCCTAGCCTATATCCTGTTGTTCCATTGTGCATAAATATTTTCTTAGTCGCATATTTCAGTTATTTTATGCTAAAATGATTTATGATTATATAAGGGATTTCTGTCTTCTGTCTTTCTTTTCTATATGTATGGCAAATCATTGCATCAAATATCCATAGCTACTGGCTCATATAGTGAAAATTAATTCTCTAAAGCAATAGTTTGCTCAATGCTTGTTGTCTGGGTTATACTGTTAATCTTAATATTCTATATATTAATAATGCATCATGGCATTTTAGATAATGATCAAAATTCATTTGCATGTACCTTTTCAATACATGTATTTGTTTTGGTTTAATTCTGTAGGTGGGAGTTTATGACAAGACATAACAACATTGGTTTTGGAGTGTTCTACCAGCCATCCCCAGATACCAAGAGAGCACAGTGGGAGGAGGTGGTGGAGAGAACAAGATGCTCATGTCATCTGGTACCGGAGATTGGAGGATATTCTTGTGAGAAGCTGGGAACGTGTAAGAATTAATATTCAAATTAATACTGTATTTGTCTGGTTATGCCTACATGTACAGTACATGTCATGCTGCCTCTATGTCGCTTGCTCCATTTCTCTCTGTCTCTATCTCTTTATTGGTGGTCTCTTCTTCTCTGTCTCTCTTGGTTTGACTTTACCTCAGCTTTTGACACTCCTGCCTATTCTCTCTCTGTCTATATCTCTGTCTGTTTGTCTGTCTGTCTGTCTGTATCTGCCTCTGTATCTGTCTCTATCTCTCTGTTTCTGTCTGTATCTCTCTGTATCTGTCTCTATCCCTCTGTCTGTCTTTCTCTCTCTGTCTCTGTCTCTTTATCTCTCTTTCTGTCTTTCTCTATCTGTTGTGCGTACCCATCTTTCTACATGTCTCTAGCTATCTTCTCTCTTCATCTTTCTGGTTTTTTTTATTTTTCTATTTTTCTTTCTGTCATTCTATCTTTAAACTTCCGACATGTAATTATTTTTTCCTATCTTTCTTTCTTACTAGATCTTTGTCTTCTGTCTTTCTGTGTACTCGCTATTAAAGTTCTTCTATTTGATGATTGTCTCACACTCATGTTTCTTATTTCATAACATTTGTGTTAATTGATTTAATATTCATTTTTATCTTCAATAATAAAACTAAGCAGTTCACACAATTGTACTAGGAAATGCATTTTCTATTAGCTTGGAATCAAATTATCTGAAACCATAATTGTCTTGTGAAGGTATCTTGTTTATGATCACACCTATTGGTTGTTTGTTTATTTTTCAGACATTGTCCAGTTTGACAATAGCTTCAGCTGGATGAGAGGTAAGAAGGTTCTGTACCTCATCGAGATACAGAAGGAAGGGGACCATGAAAGCTAGAAGGTCTCAACTCCATCATTGCCGTCATGGGATGGAAGTATTACCCATGTACCTCAAATAGCACAAGATAGAGCTGGAAGAAAATGAACTCCTGAATGCTAGAAGGTCTCTAGTCCATCATGTTTAATATACAAATACTGCTAGAATATACCTCAAGCAACATAAAGATACCCAGTTCTGCTGACAATCAGAAAGGCATTAACCCATGATAGCTAGAGGGTCTCAACTCCATCATTGCCATCATGGGATGGAACTATCACTCATGTACCTCAAATAGCACAAGATACAAGATTCGGTTTAGAGCTGGAAGAACATATGAGAACTAGAAGGTATCAAGTCCATCATTGCCGTCATGGTTGACAAATACTGCTAGAATATACCTCTAGCAACATAAAGATATAAAATTCTGCTGACAATCAGAAGGGCATTCACCCATGAGAGCTAGAAGGTCTCACATCCATGTACATGTATGCCAGCATATACCTCAAGCAATATACAGTGCATATACAATACAGTACAAGATTCTGCTAAAAGCCAGAAGGTTATAAACCAACGAGAGCTAGAGAGGCCCTCAAGTCCATCATTGCCAACTTGGGTTAGAAGTACCACTAGCAAATAAATTTTAAGTACCGGTAACAAATACTAGATTAATTCTGCTAAGAGTCACATGGGCATTAACTGATGAGTGCTAGAAGGTCTCAAGTCCATCATTGCCAATGTGGAATATAAGTGCCACCACAGCATGTACCTCAAGTAAAGATAAAAGATATTTTATGATAAGAGGTAGATGGGCATTGACTTGATTCCTTTCTTACAGATTAAATGCCTGTCTATCTTTCAACAAACTACATATATGTATGAAATACATGTAAAACATCCTTTATACAACATGTATTACATATTGCCATTCCCTTTTCGCACAAAATTTTTGTTGTTCGTAGAAAGAGAAACTGACATTATTTTTTTTAAGTATACATATAAAAACACTTGTTATTGAAATGTCTGTGTAATATACACTGCCAAATATATTCCAATAAATGATTATCAGATATAGCCAAACAATAACAACTCTACATTTGGATACAGACTGAGTGCACATTGCATATTGATTGGTTTTACTCATTGTTGAATACCAACAGATGTTAGTCCACCGTAAGTTGTAGCCAGATTTGTCTGAATGAAAAGTTTTGTTTTATGTAGCCTGATCAACATACTAGTAGTATATTACATACAGTCTAATGTACTTTATTGACCACATGTGTTGATAGAGCACCCTTGAGAGAGATGCTAAAGGAACCTGTTCATAAAGACCACCTGGCTATATTGACTACATCTTGTCACTGCTGAGCAGTCTTTATGCACAGGTTTCACTGTATCACAAGTAATCAAAAGGACCCTGAACACGACAAATATCTGCCTATAAAGACCACTTTCCTTGTCTCTCTTTGAATGGCCTTTATGTTCAGGTTCCACAGTACTAGCTATCTCTCAATTCCGATTTGTTTTGCCCCTATAAATTTGAACAAATTTCTCTTATGTCGAAGTGCCACTGTTCGAAATCACTAAGCTACCGGTACTTTATAGTCTTATTTCTATATAAAACTTGAAGGGTGTGTATGTGTGTAACTGAGTTTTTATAGACGTGTATCAATCAGATATGATTATTTATGTCTGGGGACCGACTTTTAACGTCACCATTCAAAAGACGTGACTCACTTTCAAACCTGCGTCCTCGGCTGAATCAGTTTGTAACTTCCATTTTTAGCTGGATTACAGGCGCATGCCACAACGCCCCGTCAATATGATTTCGGTAAGGGTTTCTTCTAATCTCCTTTTATACACCAGATTGAATTGGTAGAAAGAAAGAAAGAAGTTGAAAGGCTACTAAATTCTAATCTATTAAGACTTGGATACTTCCCAGGTAAACTCTTTACTTGAGATGTTAAAGGTATAATACAAAGTTTTGGTAAATGTTGAAAATTGGGAGGAAAGTGATTCTTTACAATTTCGATATATTTGGATGCCCCTGTTGATGAATTATAAGCACAAGAAATTTTAGCATCTAAAACACTTCCGCTTTTGAGAAAAATTGAATCTAAAAATTTACTGGTGCTCCCGGTAAATTTTGATGAATTTCAAATAGCGCCTATATGGCCGTACAATGGTACCTGCGACCATGAAAATATCAGGATATCTAGTTGTGATATATAATTTCCAAATGGGAAAAGGTAATCAGTCGATTTTAGTTAAGAAACATTGTTTTACAGCTTAACGAATATCTTGACCTTGAGAGGGAGCTATACAACATAAAGAGTTTATTATTTACAATTTCATAACTCTAGACTCGATTTCAACCGCGACAACGATCACTGAATATTGTAGGATGGCATATGCTTCCAATATGTTCATTTGAACCAAATTCATGACCGCATACCAAAACTTTGTATTACCTTTAACTAACCCCTTCTGTATCATGGGGGACAAATTCCCCCAAGAATTTTTACGATGTGTAATAAAATCTGTTGTAGTCAAGTGTGATATTTGATCCATCATAATTTCTCATTTTCTGTAATAAAAATGTATTTGTCAACAAACTTTCTATTTTTAGAAAAAAAATGCAAACATAACCAAAATAATTATCTTCATCAAAATGATAATTCTTTCCCAAGTTCCAAAGGGAAATTTGTCACAAAGAAGTTTGAGCTCATCTTCCAAAAAATGGTGCCAGACTTGTGACATCTTTTCCCACTTTTGTGAGATATTGATCGACATATCGCCGTTCCTTGTGTTACTTACAGACATGTACATATAGTGTTAAACTTTGTGTGACCAAATATTTTTTCCATAGTACTTTTATTAAATATTGATGTGTACATAATTACTGTTTTTTATGTGGATATAATCTTGCCCAAAGTGAGTTTTTGATGCCTTTCCTGATGGTTTTGGTTGTTTATGGTGCAGACATTCTTTCTTTTATATGGCATTATATAGTGTGATATGATATGCAAATATAAATATTTTATTCCATTGTATTTTATTTTCACAGCTAAAATCTTGCTCATATAATCACTTTTAATACACATAAATACTATGAGAAAAAATGTGTATATCTTATGTAAAATTTCTTTGAAAGACAATCACATCTTTTTTATGTGTACATGTCTTAACATTTATATGTAAAGAAAGGTGCTTTTCAATTTATTGCATATTTCACAATTACACATAAATTCTTTTGAACCATAGTTCACTCTGTCATTTACCCCCCCCCCCCCCCCCCCTTAAAAAAACCTGGATCCACCATCACCATCGATTTACAGTGGGTGGGCTGTCTGTTTTTTGTTCTTTCAGCTCTTGGGGTTGTACGGTTGTGTATACATTTTTTGAACTGCATGTGGCCGATTTAAATTGTGCTAAGTATTGAGAATAGAACTTGTATATGGAACAGAACCTCTACTTTTCTTGATACTTGTTGCGTTCAAACTTTATGTACCGTTCCTACACCGCAACACCCCTTTACCTCTTTGGATATTAAAAATGGATATGTCTCTCTTCTGTTTTATATATTCATATTGATATAATATATTAATACCTATACAAGGTAATTTGACCATGCAATTAAAGTGCATATTTTGCACAGTCTACAAACTAGCAGTTCCAAACAGGCAATGTTCCCTCAGCTGATATTTTCCTCCAGGTTTTTGCCATTGACTTTGTGTATAAAAATTGTGTTCCATATTGAGCCCATAAGGCCTTTAAAAAAAGATGTTGTATTGCCCTTAAGGTGCCAAAACATGGGTCGGTCGGTTGAAATATTTTTTTTTAAAAACCTTTTTTTTCTTTTTTTCTCCCTCTTTGGGCTGATATTTCCCAGTTTAGTGAATGCTTAAATATTTTTTTCTCTAAAAAATAGTAACAAAATAGTAACAAATTTTTAAATTGTTTTAAAAAGATTTTTTGGGTCGGTCGCAAAGGGCAATACATCTTTTTTGTTGAGGCCTTACGTAGTGGCCCCATTTACTACCTGGCGTGGAACTTCCGGCCAGGCAGCTGAATTGCTGCAAAATTGAGCAGACTATCGTGCAGCGCTGTAGCAGTGTGTATAAACCCTACAGTACCCTTTTGTGATTCCTAAAGAGATGGGTAATAATTATGATATTGACTAGCTTATGTTTCGGGAGATACAAGGATATATTGCCGTTGCTGAAACCATATTGACCTTGTCTTCGACTCTGGTCAATATGATTTCAGTAAGGGCAATATTTCCTGGTAAATATATAAATATCAAGAGTATTACTACATGTATTTTGATAACATTTGCTGCAGCTATAATGAATATTCTATATATTTAAGTGGTATATGAATTGTGCAATACACAAATTTTTATACCTCGGTTTCTTTTGAATGCCAAAGAAGGTTGTATCTTTGTGTCTGTGAAGAAATATATCTAACTTTTAATGTTCAGGAAAGATTTGTGTATACTGGTAGTAGTATTGTTAGATGGGAACAATAATAAATGTCTGTCAACAAATGTCTGGTTGTGTTCATTGAATATTAAAGAAAACTGTTAGAATTGAAAAAGAGTATTCATTCAAGAGAAAGAGAAAATAGGAACATGGATTGATGTGGAATAGAAAGATTGTGGTAAATTGAGTGGAGAAGAAAGAGAGAGAGAGGGGGAGGGAGGGGGGGGGGGGTGGGCAAGACATTGAAGAAATTGCTCTTGTATGTTAGCTCTGATTCCCAATAATATCAGTACCCTTTGACCCTAAATATCATGTAAAACAACTTACAAAGCTGTGATATCTTGAACTCTGTTGACACAGAAAACGTCACCCTAATTTCATCAGATAGTTGTAAATACATAAATACATAAACAAAAAAAACACTGCTAATAAGCACTCTAACTTTCGTTTTATTGTAGATATATATATTTTTTCTGTCAAACAATAATATAAAGTACTTTTAAACAGTTTGTACAAAAATTCTCCAGAATACACAAACATGATTTGGTCAGTGAATACAAATATCACAGATACATTATGTTAAGAAATACTAGTTTTCTGCATACACTTACAAAAAATATTCTTTGACTACTCGTGTATATGAAGTAAATGTACTTTATTTTTTTCTTCTTGTACTGTTGGTACTTTCCCAGCCCCTGCTTGACCAAGCATTAATTGTACAGCCCCATCCAACCATACACTAACTTTCTCACTTTCTTGTTAGACATACATCCACTACACTTTGCATAAGTCCAACGAGAAAGTGAGAGAGACAATGGAGTTAATTATATAGAGAAACATGATCACCTGATCACACTTGTGAAAAGAAGACAGCTACAGTGGTTTGGGCATGTAACTAGATGGAAGAATAGCTTGGCAAACATCATCTTCTAGAACTGATGGGAGAAGAAAAAGAGGAAGACCAACTAGGACATGGGCTGATCACATCAAGCAGTGAACGGGAATGTCATTTCAGCAACTAAATAGGACAGCTGAAGACAGAAAGTTATAGAGAACCTTTGACACTAAGTCCATATCACTGTCGCCCTAACGGCCTCCAAGCTATGGGATATAGATAGATGGATAAATACCGTAGATAGATCCACTAACCTTTATTTATAAAGGTTGCATGTATCGTCGTCAAATGGAAAAAAGTTGATAAGTGCGCCTTGACATACATATAATTGAATGATTAATCATAAGTACGTTCTGCATATCCTTGAGAGCCAGAAAAGTATTTACTCACAGTATGTTGCATTGAGTTTAACACACTTCTGACTCAACAGTCATGGTCACTAATTGATATCCTATCTTTAAATAAAACTTT